ATAACTTTTAATCCATTTCAGAACCATTCCTCTGATCCCATATTTTTCTAACTTATCCATTAATAACTCATGATTGATTGTGTCAAATGCTTTTTTTAGGTCAATAAATATTCCCATCGTGTATTTCTTCTCATCCATAGCACTTGTTATGTCCTCCATCAGGTCGGTAATTCATGTCAGAGACTTACTCTGGAGTCCTTTGGGCAGATCCATGGTCCTCAGGACTTCCTCTGTGACATCTGATGACCGGAGACCTTTCAACCTCTTCTCCCAAAACAGCTGCAGCCACATAGAGAGAGAGACAGAAAGATGAGATACCAGTTACCTGCTATGCCACCCCACAACAGAGATACCTCTGGGAAATTACCTATGAGTCAGGGTGTGTCAGCTCTACAGTCCTTCTGGGTGGTTGGATCACTACACTTTTATCCCTCTTTTTCACTCTGGTTTCTTCTCCTCTACCTGTTTGTACCCACTCTCTGTGGCTGTGTTCAAAATCACCCTTCATTCACCAATTAACTACTTCCTGCATAGATAGTTAAATCAGTAGGGAGCAGTAAATATAGATTTCAGACACTTACGAATCATCATCACTCTCATCACTATTGCACTGTGGGATTCTTAGAAGAAACCAGTGTATGGATACCACTTTTTGTTGTTCCAGTGCATTGAGTAGTGGACAGATTTATACACACAATTCACACATTCAGATAAACATTGTACAGTAAAAACAGTGCACTGTATTAAACAGTGATTTAGGACACACCTTCTGTGTGTGTGTGTGTGTGTGTGTGTGTGTGTGTGTGTGTGTGTGTGTGTGTGTGTGATTCTGATGCCTCAGCACCCTCTAGTGGCCACAGTTGCTATGATAACCTGATTCCCTCCACTTCATCCTCTCTTGTGTAAAAGCCTGACCTCGCCCTCAGGCACTACCATGGCAACATCACATTTTGTGTGTTTGTTTGTGCCTGTGTGTGTATGAGTCTGTGTATTCATGTGTGCCTCTCACCTGTCTGGGCTGATCAGTTGCTCTCTGCAAGTCTGTCTTCACCTTATTGCCAGGGTGACTTGTAACCTTGGTAACGGGCTGTTTGAAGATGGACGCCGTTTGTCTGATTGGCAGAGCTGTGTTCAGGTCCGGTTTACCTCCCTGACAAGACACAAACTAAGTGTTGGTAACATATTTCTCTTCCTTCATTTCAAACTCCTTCCTTTGTTACTACCTTCCTTCCCTCCCACCCTGCTTTTCTTCCTTCCTTCCCTTGTTTTTTTTCCTTGACCCTTCCTGGTCTGGTTTATCTTGCTAAATATTAGACAGAGAGCGAGAAGCAACCTATAACTTCTGTTTGTGTGTGTCACTTGAGCTTAAAGAGTTAAGTCTAAACTGAGATTTCACAGATAACAGGAAGTGTGAGTCGGTGTGTGTTGTATTGACATGGTTTGTAACTCTGCACCATGCTGCAGCTCTTCACACATCATTACCTGTGCGTACAAGCACACACTTTATTTCTACCCTGCTGAAGGATGATGATGCTGGTTGGTTGTATTTATGCCAACAACTACTGCTCTGGTCCCGTAGATATTAAACGCAACAGAAACCCTCCTTGGAGTCACTCTGAAAATATAATTCAACATTCTGAGATATCCATTATTATACAAAACTATTTGCTTTCATACTTTGAGTAAAATGAGAAGATCTGTATTAACTTAATGTCTTATTTTATATCAACCTTCTCATCTAATCTCATATTGAACACGAACCCTTATTCCCAAAATGCCTCACTATTCATTTAAAGCAGAACTAAAAGCAGTCTTCTGTCAGAGTAGGACTGATGGCTGGTTGAACTGACACATTTTTAACTCTCCAGACAAGTGTGGCATTGCTGTGCAACCACACTCTTAGCTGCAAAGTAGCAACTGTGATAAAATAGTTTTCCTGACTGGAATATTAAACAACAGGTAAAGATGAAATGCAGGAAACGGCACCACAATTTTTATGCAGTATACTGTTTGTGTACTAGCAAATAATTAATGTATGCTATAACGAATATGCAAAAATATGAAGCCAAACTATATACATAGCTTTAAAGGGTAATCCAGCAATGTAGTGCATAAAACATTTGGATTCCTGCAATAGACAGATAAATTAAAAAATGGTCTGGTTTGATGCAGTAGAGGCTGGGATATCCTGACTTTTAATCCCAAAGATTCTGGGTCTCACATTTCCCAGCATTTTTTGCTGGGCCCTCCCTGCCTGATAAATACCCATACTTAATAATTTCAAACTCTTTCGTCCCACCTTGTAACCCAGGCTTTCTGACTGTAGACTCCACATGACAGCATCAGGGTTACAAAGATTTTAGAAGGATCCTCCAGAGAAACAAAAGATATTCAGACTGTTTTCACCAGCTGATACAGTATGTACACTTCATACTGAGTAAACTGAATTTGATGTATAATCGGTGTATAACCTAAACACACACAAAACTTGTCCACAAGACCAATTACAAGTCAGAGTCAAGACACTGACAAGACTGAGACAAGTATGATTGAAAACACTGATGAGAACAGGTCAAAAGCCCTACACTGATATGACACCTGGGTCAAAACATCCTCCAGACAAAGAAGACTAACAACACAGGGACAATTCAGAGTTTAATGTCCACAAGACTGAGACAAAACAATGACAAAACCAAGACAAGTAAGAGTAAAAATACCAATAAGATAAGTCTGAGTCAAAATACCTAAAATACTTTTCTCTGTTTTGTGAATTTTGTTAGCGTTTTGAATCAGGCCACACCCATACATCACTGTCTTCCTCTGTACTGAACAAGTGTTTGTCAGCTAACCATCTGAACTACCATCCTGTTGCAGGAGCAGCTGTGTTAATCTGATAATCTGATAGCACACAACACATGACGACACAACCACAAGGTGTGTTACCTTAGCCATGCTGAATGGGTCATGTCGCACTCTCTGTTTGTTCTTCTGCAGTTTCCCAGGCATCATCTTCCCCGTACGGAAGTCGAAACATCCCAGATCCACTGTGTTTCCAAGGTAACGAGACAGCTGAGGCTTACTCCTGAACTTCTTCCCTGACGGACTGAAGGAGGGAATGAGGAGTCAGACAGCTTACAATATTATGATTAAAGTTATGAATATTGTCATTTGGATATCCAAAAGAGATTTGCATACTTTTAATTGTCAGGAATTGTAATTTTATCAGTAAGAGATTTCCGTAATTCATGTTTCACACAGTCCAAAATGCACTGTAAAAAGCTTTAACCACAGGCTCCAATCACCTGAAAGTCCAAAGAAACTACAGTTATAGTTAGAAATAATTAGAGATGAATGATATTGCAAATCAGTGTTTTAACCAGTCACCAATAAACTAAAGGTGTGTATGACAAGAAGCTGGTGAAGCTGATGAAAAAAGCAGCCAGACTGAATGTGAAGCAACCACACTCTTATTTTCATAAATTTGGATCATCAGAGTTAATCTTCAACTCTGACATATAAAATTCAACAAACTCTTTGCCCAGTCTGATAACTGCACTCACTTTCATTTGTCTGACAGTGGCATCACAGTAACACCTCCCACCCACAGGCCATGACAGTAGTTCGGGACAGTAGGCCCTTCTCAAGCTGCTATTCTCTTAATGCTGGGTTTTACAGATCGAACAAAATGTATGTAAATCATTTTACTAATTTTAATGTAGCCCTGTAAATTGTATAATAAGGGTTTTTATATAGAATTGAAAATAATTATAGGATGATAAAATAGGTCGGAAACAGCCACAGGCTTAGTGAAAAAACCATATTCATAACATCTGCTCCTCAGTACAAAAATGATAGACTGTAATATGAAGGCATCACAGACACTCCTACACAAATGAACACTAACCTAACACGACCTGCTTATGTACTATATCATTTCCTGAACATGATTAAATCCATAAAACATAACAGGGACTAGTTTTCATTTAGAGATACGAACTGACAGATGATGAAGAGGATACGTATGAATAAAGTTGAATGTGAGATAGTAATGTATAATAAAATCACTAAAAACAAACACTAATTTTATATGGGTTGAGTCTAATCAACTAAATATATATATATATGTGTGTGTGTGTGTGTGTGTGTGTGTGTGTGTGTGTGTGTGTGTGTGTGTGTGTGTGTATTTGAAAATGTGTTGAATGTCTGTAGAAGTTAACAGCTCTTCCTCTCCACCTATCTACAGAACACTGTGTGTGTTTGTGTGTCTGTGAAAAGAACACAACAACAGCACATTTTAATGATGAGATATTAAAGATGTTATCTATCTTACATGTAAGACTACATAGCTTAGCTTAGCACAAAGAATGAGAACAGGGGGAAACAGCTAGCCTGACTATAACAGTAACAAAATCAGCCTGTCGTTTACCTTTAAGGTTCATGAATTAACATGTGGCATCTCATTTGTTTAATCTGCACAAGAATGGAAGTATAAACAACAAGGATTCACCATTTTCAAGGGGGGCACTGTATGCCCTGGACTATTTCTTAGCCCTAAATAAGGAACTTATTACTGCCACTTGTCACTTTCGCTCTCACATGAGTCTGATCTTGGCGCTCTCTGTTCTCTGAGAAAGGCCTAGTCAGTCAGCTATGACATCACATCTGACACCAAGAGCAACTGTCGAACACTTCCTCATTTGCTGCTCTGCACATGCACATTGCAGTACTTGTGAGGGCCCTGGCTGACATAATGCATTGCCTAACCCCTGACACTAATACAAGTCTAATAAACCCGAAAACCAAGCCTTAGTACTGAAACAGCACTCTGGAGAAGTGAGAGGACCAGACAAAATGTCAGTGTCTCTCAAGGTCTATAAGTGTAATCGGTCCTCACAAAGATAGAAGTACCAAAGCAGACGCAGTCATTCGGTTGTCTGGCATGAAGGTCAGCAGCAACAAATCAAAGATCACAGGCTGTATTTGTGTGTGTGTGTGTGTGTGTTGTGTCATCTTGTTCCTGCTCTTCACTGAAACTATGTGATGTTTACCTTATGCATAACTACTCAAACCCAAAACTTTGTGTTTTGTACGATTCCTGATAATCTACATGTTGTATGAATCAGATCTGAAATAAATCTGTTCTGTCAGTTTGAACAAAGTTCCCGCTAAAACATTAAAAAATAGCCAATAGCCAATAGCGGCATTAGCGGGGTGTTGCTGCTCTAACAGTAAGTTGACCTGCTGACTGGTTTCTTTACTGGAAACGATGAGTCACATTACAAAGCAAACTAAAAGTCAAGCAAAGTCTCAGTTGTGAACTTCTGATTTCCATGTTAAAGGTCCAGGAAGTGATGATATTTGTTTCTGACTCTGAGCTATTGTTAATCTGATAGAGCTAAGCCGCTGATCAACAGGAAAAGAACACAGTGTCTGAAAACAGCTGGTGGCTCTGCAGTGTCACTGCCTCGCCGCAGACCTGCAGCAGGAGTGACAACATTTCCTGCACAACCCAACATAGCAGTGATGACTGAAGATGCAGAATCAGGGCAAATGGAAAAGCCAGAACTGTGACCTGCAACAAATAGAAGCCAAACTCCCTTATACGGTTGTTTGATATCCTGTGTTCTTTCTTCCACAGTGACAGCACCAGGGCCAGAGAAGCACAGACACTCGGGGGAGAGATGTTGCTACCAGGTTTCTAGGTGCTTAGAATAAAACACATCGTAAATATGAACTAGTCGACAAACAGAAAGAGCAAATCTCCGCCACGGTACCTCAGGTTCCCCATAACGCCATTATACCAATCTTAAAGCAATATTCCAATGATGGATTGACTGTCATAATGTGAGTTGTGCATCTGTTTGACTCAGTGTGGGGATTAGCTACACACACAAGGTACAAGGCAATCCTTCTGACAGGATTGTGTGAAGGTGTGGCTGTGTTTATTTGTGCTTTAGAATGTAGCTGCCGTGAGACAATCAGAAAATAACACTTTATTTCTTTGATTCACTGTTTTGTTTTGCCAGTGCCACTCCCTCTCATCATTGACATGCTAGGTCATTCAACCACCTCTGCCTGCTCTCTGATGAGGGAGTAAATTTAGAACACAGGCAGTGAAATGTAGGCACAAAGGTAAAAAGAATGGCTCTTAAGTACGACTTGAATCCCTTCATTCCTACCAATGAGCCATTGAACAGAACAGAACAGAACTGGAAGCTTAACAGGCCTGTGCTGCAGTTTTATCGCGTGTCCAGTGCTAACCACCATGTTGGAAGGGTTTATTACCCTCTGGGGCTCTGGGGCAGTCACATGACCGAAAACTATGCAGAATCTTAAAATAAAAAAAAATTTCCTGGATCTGGATGACAATCCAGATCAGCACCAAGGTCTAATGGATTGTTCTGTGGGCCATACCCTGGTGGAGGTAATACAAAGTGCAAAAAGAACAGAACAACGCTGATGCTGTAAATTACTGATAATCTTTTTTTTTTTTTTTGGATTTGGATTAAACGAGTACTCAAGTGATTTATAATTGCACATCCACAAAATAGGAAGACTTGTTAGAGACAGACTGAAAAAAAGGTAAGAGTCAAAGCTTACAGCTGCTATCATTGCAATCTTAACATTTGTATTTAAAAGGCATGGACAAAATAATGATACAGATGAATCAGCACCAATGGCATTACTAGAAACAAAACTATAAACTAATTACTGCATTACAAACTACCAGTTGTGACCTACATTACAATAGGGGACCACGGTATGTCAATAGAAATCCTCCTGTACTGGGGTTTGGGTGACAGAGTATGTGTCAGTCAATCAGCAGAAACACAAATGTATGAAAATA